TTTTCAATAATTCCTTTATTTTTTGGATTTTCCTTTAAATTAATTTCTTCTTGTGTGATTTTGTTCATTATTTCTTTTTCTTTTTTCTTTTTAATTTTGTTTTTTATTGCTTTTTGTTGCATGAAATTACCTCTCATCACCGCTTTGCTTGCCTCCCATACTATGAACGAATGTGTTTCTTGAATGTCATTTATATCAAGGTATTCCTTTAATAGTTTCCTGTTCTTTTCCACATCCTCTTCGCTTCTCAGTAGGTTATCATCTAATCTCCATCTTCTGGTTTTCTCTTCAAATTTTATTTTAATTTCTATTGGGCAATGGTCTGATTCCATTCTTGGTAAGATCTTTATCTCTTCAACCTCTGTGACTAGGGATTTTGACATCCAGGCCATATCAATTCTAGACCATGTTTCGTGTCTGGCCGAATAATATGTGAAATCTTTCTTTCCTTCATTTTTCCTTCTCCAGACGTCTTCCAGATTCAACTCCGACATCATGCTTGTTATTGTTTTTGGTAGAGTTCCTCCTCTTTTTTTTCTTTCTCTTTTTCTTGTGTGGTCATTATTACTTCTATCTTGGGCTGCGTCAATTACTCCATTGAAATCTCCCATAATAATCAGGTGGTCAAACTCATGTTCACTAATCTTCGTTTTTAGTTTTTCTGCGAATTTTGTTTTAGAATCATTAGGTGCACATATGTTGCACAGTAAAATTCTCTTGTCTCTTATCATTATTGTTACCCCTACGAATCTTCCCTCTTCGTCTTTAAATGTTTGGCTTGAAGGGATATCTTTATTTATGTATGTCACTACTCCTCTCTTTTTTTCCGGGGCTGCTGAGTAGTATGTTTTCCCTAAATTTCTGTTGTCTAGGTGGGCTATGTGTTTCTGGGCAATGTGCGTTTCTTGGAAAGCAATTACATGATACCGTTTCTTTTTTATTCTATTTATTACTTTATTTCTTTTATTTTTACAGTTAAAACCATTAATATTATTACTATATATTCTTAAGATATCCAGAGTTGACTAGGTACTTTTGGGGTGTGTTGCGCTTTTAGTTTCTTTCTTCCTCTTCTCTCTCTCCCTGGTTTTCTCCTTCTTCTCCTTCTTCTCCCTCTTCCTCTTTGTCTTCTTCTCCTTCGCTTTCTATCACTTCTTCTACTCTGTTTAGGTTTGCTGTGTCTATTGCTTTTCCTAGATCCATTTTATAGTTGTCCTTATCCAGGTCTTCTTTCTCCGGTGATTCAGTACGGGCTCTTTTTCTTTCTTTCTCTCCCTTTCTATTGTAATTCGTTTTATTTTCTCTTTCTTTTATGATTCTTTTTAAGAAGTCTTTTGCTGTTTCTTCATTTGTAATCCAGTGTTTCTGTTCATGATATGTTGCCATCAGGCCTTCTCCCCTTTCCCAACGAAAACGTATCTTCTGTCTTTTGAGTTCTTCCACAAGTGGGGCGTATTTTTTCCTTCTACTTAAGACGACTCCTGGTATTTCTTTCAGGATTACCACTTTCTTGCCCTTGTAGAAAACTGTTCTCTTACTGTTGACCTTTAAGACCTCATCTCGTTGTGTTTTTTTTGTGAAGTGGACTAAGACGTCTCTAGCCGTTTTGTTTCTTCTTGCAAAGTTAGTGTTGATTCTGTATATTCTATCTGCTTGTTCCTCGATTTCTTGGTCTGTCTTCTCCATTAGTTCTCCCAGTATTTCTTTTACTTTTTCTCTTATGTTCTCCCCTTGTTCTTCTTGGACGTTTCTTAGTCTTAGTTGATGTTCCATGTCTTTTATTTCTGAGTGCAGCTGTTTTTCTTCTAGTCTTTCTTTTTCCAGGTGTAGTATGTTAATCTTTCTTTCTAGGCTTTCTTGTGTTTTCTTCAGTTCTTCTTTTTCTATTTTCATACTCTTAATTTCACTTTGTAGCAGTACTATCTCTGTCTTCATTCCTTTCATTTCTTCTTTTATCTCTTTCAGGCTTTGTGCCTGTTCTTTGGTTGTTTTCTGGTGTTCTTCTTGATTTTCTTTCATTGTTTGTAGTTCTTTAATTATCTCTTTCAACATATCTTTCACAGTCGGTTCTTCTGAGACAGAGCCTTTCCTTGCTGCCCCTTTGTTCTCTTTTCCCTCTTTTATCTCTTTCAGCTTTGGTGTTGACATCTCTTTTCTTCTTTCTTTTATGTTCTTTTGAATTGTCCCAGGGGGTCGTCTTCTTTTTTATTCTTTTGGGAGATCTGTGGATAGTCAATGTTTTGCTTTATTGTTATAATATATGGCTATTTCTGGTGCCTATTTCTGCTGGAGTTTCTTTTGCTGCGCAGGGGTGGTTCTCCAAATTGGGTTGCGGCGCTCTCTGATTCTCCGCCCTTGTTTGTTTGTTTACTTGATAATTTAATTGTTTGCTTGTTATTTACTTACTTGTTATTATTATATTGCTTTTATATTTTATTTGTTTAATTTAATTATTTATTTATTTTACTCAATTTTATTTACTTTTATTTATTTATTTAATTTTCAATTTATTGTCCTTATTTCTTTACTCTGTTATATCCCCCTTTAATTTCTGTTACCTTTTCTCTCTTTGTTGCCTTCATTCGCCTCTTCCTCTCCTTGCCGCAGCGCTCCTTGATCCTTGCCCCTTCCTCCAGGCTCCAGTCTCTCTCTTCCTGTCTTCATCTGTTTATATCTTGCGTCGGTCTCTTTGGTCCCTTTGTTTACTTCCTGGTTTCCCTTTCCGGTTCTAACTCGTGCCTTCTCGCGAGATCTTGCAGCCTGTGAAGCCTCTCGCGGTTTCTTCTTCTTCTCGCGGCTTTTCACGCTGTCCAAGGCCTCTCGCGTTATTTCGGCGGTGCTTGGGCGTTGTTTAGACTCCTCGTGCTTTGCACTCCCAGCGTTGCCCTGGCCCCGCCTCTCCTCTTCTTCTCCGCCGTTTCTTTCTGTCGCCTCCTCCTTCTTATCTCGGATTACACCCTCCTCCGCGTCAAGGCCAGAACAAGGCTCCAAGGGGGACAAGCTCCGTGAAAGTTTCTTCAAGGTCAGCCCCGTCTTCTTATCTCTCCTCGCTACCTCGCCACTTTAGTTAACCCTTTAGAGCCCCTTTTAGGTCACCTTTCCTTTTTTTCCTTCCCTTTATATCTATGACTTTTGTCTCTCTGGGATCTTATCTTCCTCTACTTCTTTGTTAGTTTGTTATCTTTACAATCTTTACAGTCTTTACAATGTTTGCAAACTCATTTTCCACCGAGTCTCACTTTGTCCTTTATCTTTATCTCTTGTCTCTCTGGGATCTTATCTTCCTCTACTTCTCTATTCTTCTCTTTATATATTCTTCTCTTTTACACTCTTTTTGCACTCATATATTCCTTTATCTTCTTGTCTCTTTATCTCTTTATCTTTATCTTTATCTCTATATCTCTTCGCCACTTGCGAATTCACCACCTTCCGTTTATCTTATCTTCGTACCTTTTTCTACGTACCTTTTTTTTTCTAAGTCTTCCTAGTTTTATGATTGCATATGATTGTATATTTGGATATTTAATTCTACGGACCTCCCAGGGCCTCCAATACTAGACTTCCATCTAATCTTGTTTGTTTCTCCGTATTTCTCCTTATTTCTCCGTATTTGCCACTCACTTATTTAGATAGAGTTTTGTGCCAGGGGGGCTTTCTCCCACCTCCTTCCAATACCGTTGGTTACTTACAGTTCTTTTCTGTAGATCTTTAATACTTTAAAAAGTGTGCCGGTCGGGAATCTGCAAGGATCCTCCCTGTTGGCTCGTCCGCGGCCCGCCGTACCTGGGTGGACGTTGCCGGACCCTTTAGGAGCCTCCTCTTGAGGAGAAGACCCCCTTCGGGCCGTCGGCCGTACCACCAATGGTTCCGCCGTTCCCCTGCTTCTATCCACAAAGGGGAAGGGAGCTGTTTGCTCTACCCAGCCGCCTTGACCGAGCCGACACTTGCCGGAGCTCTAAAGCGTCTGCCTTCCCGCCATGATGCACACCCGGAAGTCCAGTGGTGGGATTCTTTTGAAACCCCTGTCCAGACGGCCTCTTCTTTGAGTTATTATACCGACGACTTCATCAGATGGAGGTTTTTTCCTGTCCCGGTTTGCTGCCAGCATGCTGCTGGGATGGAGTCTGCAGGAGCCCATCTTATGACACACTACACTTATATATACATCTCACATTTGTAAATTTATTTATTATGGGCATCTCTATGTGGTCTCCAAAAATATAGTGCTTAAATACACTCCCCTCTTTTTTTTAAAATTCCCAAACAGTAAAAGTAGTTCTTGCACAAACTTCCCTTTCATCTGTTCATTGGAACTGTTCCATTTTGATCAGTTCTGAAAGAGTAACTTTTCCTGCAGTTGTCATCAAGTTCTGCCGACAATTTCCTTTGAGAAAACATTATTAGCATTTTCTAAAAATTACAAGATAAAGACATGTGGCAAAAATAAACTGCTTCTATCTTTAACCTCTAGAAGGCAATGTTCTCATATAAAAATGCACTATATGACTAATAATCCCTTCACCCAGTTCTGGTAAACACATTAAAGTTATAGCTGTTTGCCATTTCCCAACCATGGCTAATTAGCACATAATGCATATGTGAATAAAAGTTTGAAATTGGACCCAAATTGAATTGAACAGCCTCTACATAACTAGAAGTTTAATATTGTTTTTAAGCCAGTCAATTAGAGACTAGACTGAATTTTGAGGCTACCATATTCTCTCACTGTATGCATGCCATATAGATAGGATTAGATAGTATAATTTCTGATTATCTGTATATATATATTTGTATCCTACCAATGATCAAACTAATATAATACTCTTACTATTTTAATAGGAAAATAATCTAAATGAAACATGCTACAAGATTACGTATGTATTTCCTGACATGTAAAAGTACAACAATATTGAATTGCTTCCAATTTTTTAAAATGTCATTCACATTGTTAACAAATTCAGTAGAGTTCATAGGGTAAGTGCTGAAGCTCAAGTTCTTACCACATGTTTTTTCATCTTCATCAGAACGATCTGGACAGTTTGGTTTTCCGTCACAAAATAATTCCTGTTTTATGCAGCTCACACCATCAGCACAAAGTCCATCAGGAAACAAACATTTCACTAAAATACATTTTAAAAAGGCATTAAGGATACAGAAAACACTCTTGTTTTTATCATCTCAAATTTCAATTAAGTGCTTCTCTTACCTTCTCATATATAACCTAAGCACCCCTGTAAACTCTGGGTGTCACTCATGTTCTCAAGCCTTAACAATAGAAACTTGTTACTTGCAAGGATAAGATGGTCCTCTGGACACCTTGGCCGTATCTATAATGCAGACTGACATCACTTTAATGTGTTTATATAGCTGAATATCATCTTCTAAAGCACTTTTTTTAAAAAAAAATGTGTTTCCTGTCCTACCTAAAGATGTGAGGATAAAACCTGGGAACTTTAGAATGTGTTCCTCATGGTTTGGGAATTATGCTGCTCTCCAGATGTTGGACTGCTACTTTCTCTAAGCCAAGCTATTATTGACTGTGAAGAGTGCCTGTTTCTCATCCCTGCTTTACATTAATATGCTTAGCAGTACCATGTGCCTTTATATCAAGTGTGGGTAATGTATGATCCTTGATCTGAGTGTAGCTCAAAGTCGTTGACTATCTCTGCTAATCCCCACCCACATGACCCCCACCGACACCTCATTAACCTCTAATACAACTTACATTTGCAAAACTATTGGAAGTCGGGGTGGGGGGGGGGAGGGAGAGTCCCCTGGGAACTTGTTGGTTATGCTTCTGTTAGAAAATAGGTCCATGACACCTGACTGAGGATGGCAGGTGTCTCCCTATAGCTCCCTAATTCTTACTTATTCTTTCTCTGTTCCTCCAACCATTCCTGCTGCCCATCCCTGTCTTCTATTCTTGTGCAAAGTAAGCATCAGATAGACTGAGACACTTATAAAACACTTTTGAGACTATTAAATCCAGTGAAAGAGCCATTAGTGGCCTACCAAAAACTTCAGACCATTTACTTTATTGATAGGAATAATATTATACATAAAACCCCAGTTCAATTATTTCTTTTTAACTCCATATCGGAAAACTAAACCACAATGCCATCTACTGGAGAAAGAAAACAGTCCATCATAAAAAAAATCCTTCATTATCCCTTTCCTTTCTAAGAATAGCAAAAGTATACTTGCTCATCAGTTTTAAAAAAGAAATCTGTTTATTACTTGTGTAATTTTTATCCCATCTTGTCAACAGAACTGGGAACAAGGTGGTTCACAACATGTGAACACAGATACATACAAAATTCATAATATTAAAAGTAAGGTAAATATATTACACCACTAAATTATAGTAAAAACTAAATGATTTCTTAAATAAAATATTAACCATCTAGCATGGAGTCTAGCTTCTAAAATGGAGATGTGTTGGGATAATTTCATGCTTAAACTCAGTCTTTATTCAATTTCACTTAATACTGTAGGTGGAAAAGACCCTCGGCATATCATTTGACATTTATTCTGATGGCAAAGATACCTAAAGAGATACTCTTTTAAGGCTTCAAGAAAGGGAAAATACACCAATCACTACATCTCTCCTGACATACATGCAGAGAGAGATCTCAATTCACATAGCATACTCTAAAATGGAAAAAGCTAAAGTCAGAAGTAAAGACTTGCTGGCCAATGGTTGCTTTCTGTTTGGTTATGTTTTATTAGTTTTATTGTTTTAATATAGTTGATTGTTATATGTTTTAATTATGTTATTGTGCAACTTTGTTTATATTGGGCTTAGTCCCCCTGTAAGCTGCCCCGAGTTCCTTTGGGGAGATGGAAGAAGGATATAAGAATAAAGTTATTATTATTATTATTATTATTATTATTATTATTATTATTATTATTATTTGAAACACAACAAGATGAGTCCACAGCAGACACTCTGCTGGCTGTTGTATTGGATCACACATCAGACACTTCCCAAGTGTCTAGGACTGTGTGATGTATCGGTGAATAATGCGTGCAGATCCCAGTAAGGTGGCCTTCTGCAGCTGGCAGATGGTAATCTTGTCAGCGTCGCTTGTGTTTAAGTGCACGCCAAGGTCTTTAGGCACTGAACCCAGGGTGCCAATCACCATTGGGACTACCTTGACTGGCTTGTGCCAGAGTCTTTGCAGTTCAATCTTTAAATCCCCATATCATGTCAGCTTTTCCATTTGTTTCTCTTCAATCCTGCTGTCACCTGGGATTGCAACATCAACAATCCATGCTTTGATGATGATGATGATGATGATGATGATGATTATTTATTAATAATATCCATTCTACACAACCAATCAGAATGAGAGCAGAAACAGAGAGGAGAGAAGAAATAGATGCATTCTAACTGTCATACAGGAGACAGAGGAAACGGGAAACCCTCAGCCTATTCAAAGCGAACTACCTTGTTCCTCATTGAGGAATCGAAAGTTGGGCAATGTGGGTTTGAATTCCAACACCTTTATGAGGCCTTTCTGGAGATTTGTGGCAACCATCTTGGATACTAACCTGTTGATAGTGAAGAACTGCTGATACTAAATGTTCTAAAATCTGCAAAACAAATTCAAAAGAATCCTGATTATTATTTCTTTGAAATCAAATTTTATCTATTTATTTTTTGCTTATGGCATTGATGGGGCAAAACACACATCTTTGGGGTTTTTTGGGGGAGTGGGGATGATCAATAATTTTTTCCAAATTTCTGTTATACTTCGTTGATCAAATTTATATTTACTAACCAGGTGTTGTGAAAGGATTGCTTGTGGTAGATTCTCCCATATCTGAAAAGCAAAATGAACAAACTGAAAATTACTTCTTAAAGCAAAGTTTGCCTCCATCCTATTTTAGAAACTTCATGCAACAACTATACTGCTTTGGCCATTGGAAAATGTCGATAATTTTCCTTATAAATGTCTGACCTCATCTACACAGGCCATTTAATCTAAGGCTGGTCTGGAGTAGTAGAATCCTACAATGCTGGTGAGATGGAGTCCAAACTGCTCAGCAGAGCCAAAACCATTTTGGCCTTGCTGGGTTGTCACCATACCTTGGAGGTCCTCTGTCCCCACTGTCAGACCATCATAAAGATTTTGAGAGCTCCTTGCCATTGCTGAGTGCATGCACTCATGTCGGCAAAGGTGTCTACCTGGGAGTAATGTATCTCCTGAGGTGCAGATATATCTTTGTCATCCTGGTGCAGCTGCAGTGGTAGTCAGGGAACTCCAAAAATAAATAAATAAACCAACAAACAACCCCCTGGCCATCTTTGGGTGAATCAGAGAGGGAAAGAGAATCACTCCTTCTTTCCCACTCCCTAATCCAAGTAGCACAAGTGCCTTTGCTAATATCAACAATGACACCCATGGACAGACAGGAGTTATTTGGAGTTCATTGGCCACTGCTACAATGGTGACAGGATGACAAAGGTAAGGGTGGCTGCCCAGAGATGCCAACCTAGTTTTGTCCTCACTGGACGATCTGAACTCTGTCCTGTCATTTCATCAGTACAGAGGTAGGCTGTATAGGTAGCCCTAGGGCCAATTTGAAGTTCTTCAAACCAGTTGTCTTTGCCTGTGTAGATGTGCCCACAGATTGGATACTCCAAGTGAGAATTTTATACACATATTCCCACCCCATAATGTACCATGAAGACTAATGATGCATACAAAGTCTTGCCCCACTTATATGCCATTATTCACCCTGAAGTATTTTTACTTACAAACTTACTCATATTTTGCTCATACAGCTACTTTGCTTCCCCTTATTTGATTAGAATACAAGCAAAGGAGTTAAGCTAAATTACTTCTCAATTATTTTCAACAATTTAAAATAATTACCTATTATTTCTACGCTGTTCACATCAATGTTGAATGTCTGCAAAAAGTCACTTTTATTTCCTTCAATGCCAAAAGCCAGTTCATTCCTTATTTTTCCATTTGATACCCATTGTGAAAAGAAAAGGTTGAACAGTACAATGATACTGCCATTTCTGCAAAACAAGTGATAACCCACAAAGAGGCAAAGAAATTAATCAAGGAGGCAGGGTGTTATGAACTTAGCTTTCTTGACTATGTTGAATTACTCTGTTACCAGGTGACAAATGGATGCCAAGAGGAATTTATCTCACAACCCAACATTGCAGCTGGACTGTCACATTTAGTGATGATTCCATGTGAACCACATTGCTAGTCTACATCCTTCCCGTGATTCTCCCATCCTTAGCTATTAATCCAACAATAGCTCCCAAACACAGAACAATAGGTCCCTTCCACTTCTGTGCCAGAATCCCAGCAATAATGTGACATCAGGGAATGGGATTTTCTTCTTCCCATTCCCTCATCCCAAGATATACAATTTCTGTTTGTTTTATATATTACTAGCTTGGGGACCCAGTGCTGCCTGGGTTATTAGAGAAAGGTATTGTGTGGGAAATGTGTTCTTTATCAGTTATCCGTTAGGTACTGTGAATCCCATCATGCATGGTCCACCCTCCTCCAAACAGCAACTGGATGTAGAGTGGGTCATGGGGGCTCTGTGGGCCAAGGCTGGTCTTGATAAGTCATTGGATCAGGGTCTCAGTGGTCTCAGAAAGTGAGCTAAGGTCTTGCAAGTCCCATCATCCAGAGTCTGTTCTCCCCCAAACCTCACCAGAATGTTGAGTTGGCCATGGGGGCTCTCTGTGCCAAGTTTGGTCTTTATTGGTATTTGGATGAGTGTCGCTGTGGTTTCAGGAAGTGAGTGAAGGTACTGCAAGTCCCATCATCCATCATCCATCCTCCTCCAAACAGCACTGGGATGTAGAGTGGCTCATGGGGGCTCTCTGAGGCAAGAGAGAGCCCAAGACTGCTTCCCAAGACTGCTGCAAACCACCTCTAATGACTGATCAAGACCATTGATCAGTCATTAGATGAGGTTTGCAGCAGTCTTGGGAAGTGAATGTAGGTACTTAAAGTTCCATCATCCATGGTCTGTCCTCCTTGAAAGTACACCAGGATGTAGAGTGGGTCATGGGGGCTCTGTATGCCAAGGTTGGTCTTGATCAGTCATTTATGAGGGTCTCAGTGGTCTCAGGAAGTGAGTGAAGTTACTTCAAGTCCCATAATCCATCTCTAAATTCTTCCAAATCACACCAGGATGTAGAGTGGGTCATGCGGGCTCTCTGTGTGAATTGTGGTCCTGATCCATCATTGTTGGCAGTTGTAATGGTCTCAGGAAGGGAGTGCAGGCATTGAAAGTCCCATCATACATGGTCTATCCTTCTCCAAACCACACCAGGATGTAGAGTGGGTCATGGGGGCTCTGTGTGCCAAGTTTGGTCTTGATCGGTCATTAGATGAGGGTTGTAGCAGTCTTGGGAAGTGAGTGGAGGTACTTCAAGTCCCATCATCCAAGGTCCATCCTGCTTGAAACTTCACCAGGATGTAGAATGGGTCATGGGGGTTCTGTGTGCCAAGTTTGGTCTTGATCAGTCATTGGTTGAGGGTCGTAGAGGTCTCAGAAAGTGAGTGAAGGTACTGCTAGTCCCAATATCCGTGGTCCATCTTCCTCCAAGCAGCACCAAGATGTAGAGTGGGTTATGGGTGCTCTGTGTGCCAAGTTTGGTCTTGAACAGTTATTGGATGAGGTTCGCAGTGGTCTTGGGAAGTGAATGAAGTTACTTCAAGTCCAATTATTAGGGCTGGGCAACCACGGAAAAATTTGTTTCTAAAATCGATTTGTTTTTAGGGGTTTTTTGCGTTTCGTTTTTAAAAAGAATTCCGAAATTTTTCTTTAAAAAAGTTCGATATTTACGAAATTTCGTAAAATTACAAAACAATATGAAACGATTTCGAAACAATAACGAATCGTTTCATTAATGGCGGACGTGACCGCGCAATACGCTAAAAAACCTCCAAATGGGACAGGGGGAACTTCTGAAGCTTCCCTCTCCCTCTGTTGTTGACTGTTGGTGTGATATTTATAATTTTTTTTCACTGATTAAACAAACAACAACTATAAAACTTGCCCCAGACATGCGGAAATAATAACGAAACGATTTCAAAACGATAACGAAACGAATACAAAACAAATCCGAAACAATTACGAAACGAATTTAAAAATTCGTTTCGTTTTTTAGTTGCTCCTGAATGGTTCGTTATCGCTTCGTTATAAAAAAAAATAATGAATTTTTAACGAATTACGAAATTACAGAACGAAACCGCCCAGCCCTACCAATTATCCATTGTCCATCCTCCTCAAATCTGCACTAGGATGTAGAAAGGGTCATGGTGGCTCTGTAAGTCAACTTTGGTCTTGATCAGTCATTGGATGTGGGTCATAGTGGTCTTGGGAAGTGACTGGAGGTACTTCAAGTCCCATCATCCATGGGCCATCCTCCTCCAAACTGCAGTAGGATGTTCAATGGGTCACGGGTGCTCTGTGTGCCAACCTTTGTCTTTGTTGGTCTTTGTTGGGGGCTGCAGTGGTCTGTGGAATCTGAAGTGTTGGAAAGTACTACAAATCCCATAATCCATTGTCCACCCTCCCCCAAACCTCACCAGGATGTAAAAGGGATCATGGGGGTTATGTGTGCTAAGTTTGGTCTTGTTCAGTCATTGTTGAGGGTCGCAGCAGTCTCGGAAAGCAAGTGGAGGTACTTCAAGTCCCATCATCTATGGTCTGCCCTCCTCCAAACTGCAGTAGGATGTAGAGTGGGTCACGGGGGCTCTGTGTGCCAAGTTTGGTCTTTATCGGTCTTTGTTGGGGGCCACAGTGGTCCTTGGGAACCAAACCCTTTGAAAGTACTACAAAATCCCATAATCCGTGGTCCACCTCTCCCAAACAGCACCAGGACATAATGGGGGTCATGGGGGCTGTGTGTGCCAAGTTTGGTCCAGGTGCGTCACCCGTGTTGGTCACAGTGGCCTGTGAAAGTGGCAACCAATCAGAAAGTTGCCACATACACTTCCGTCCTTCCTTCCTCCCTTCCGCCCTCAGCATACATACAAACAAACATTCACTTTTATTATATACTAGCTTGGGGACCCGGCGCTGTCCGGGTTATTTGAGAAAGGAATTATGTCTCAAGGTTGTTCTTTATCAGTTATTTACATGGCTCGCAGTGGTCTCAGAAAGTGAGTTTAGGTACTGCAAGTCCCATCCTCCATAGTCTGTTCTCCCCCAAACCTCACCAGAACGTTGAGTTAGCCAAAAGGGCTCTCTGTGCCAAGTTTGGTCTTTATTGATATTTGGATAAGTGTCGCTGTGGTTTCAGGAAGTGAGTGAAGGTACTGGAAGCCCCATCATCCATTGTACGTCCTTCTCCAAACAACATCGGGATGTAGAGTGGGTCATGGGGGCTCTGTGTGCCAAGTTTGGTCTTGATTGGACATTAAATGAGGGTTGCAGCAATCTTGGGAAGGGAGTGAAGGTACTTGAAGTCCCATCATCCATGGTCTGCCCTTCTCGAAAATGCACCAGGATGTAGATTGGGTCATGGGGACCCTGTGTGCCAAGTTTGGTCTTGATCAGTTATTGGAGAGGGTCTCAGTGGTCTCAGGAAGTGAGTGAAGTGACTGCAAGTCCCATCATCCATTGTCAAATTCTTCCAAACCACACCAGGGTGTAGAGTGGGTCATGCGGGCTCTCTGTGTAAATTGTGGTCCTGATCCATCATTTTTGGCAGTTGTAATGGTCTTAGGAAGGGAGTGCAGGTATTGCAAGTCCCATTGTCCATTGTGCATCCCCTTCCAAACTGCACCAGGATGTAGAGTGCATCATGGAGACTCACTGTGCCAAGTTTGGTCTTGATCAGTCATTGGATTAGGGTCGTAGTGGTTTCAGTAAGTGAATGATGGCACTGCAAGTCCCATCATCCATGGTCAACCCTCCTTTAAACTGCAGCAGAACATAGAGTGCGTCATGGAGACTCAGTGTGCCAAGTTTGGTCTTGATCAGTCATTGGATTAGGGTCGCAGTGGTTTCAGTAAATGAGTAAAGATACTGCAAGTCCCATCATCCATGGTTCATCCCCCTTGGAACTGCATCAGGATGTAGAGTGGGCCATGATACTCTGTGTGCCAAATTTGGGCCTGGTCTGTGATTTGTAGGGGCTACAATGTTCTGTGGGAAGTGAATAGGGTGAAGGTACTGCAAATACCATCAGTAGTGGCCCCTCCTGCCCTGAACCGCACCAGGTTTTAAAGTGGGCCATTGGGCCTCTGTGTGCCAAGTTTGGTCCTGGTCCATCATTGGTGTGGGCCACAGTGCTCTAAGATGAGTTCAAGTACTGCAAGTCCCGTCATCCATTGTCCATCCTCGCTCAAACTGCACCAGGATTTTGAGTGGGTCTTGCTGGGGGGGGGGGGGGGGTCTGTGTACCAGGTTTGGTTTTGTTCTGTCATTGTGTTTTGGACTTCAACTCCAACCATTCCTGACAGCTTTAGGCCCCTTTCCTATTCCTTTTGCTGCCTCGGAATGTTCAGGCTGGCCAATYAGAGACCATAAGCAAATTGTTCCTCGGAATGTTGAAGTTGGCCAATCATATGCAGATTGTACCACAGTGGCAGCCAATCGGAATCTTGGAACTTTCTGGTTGGCCAATCAGAGACCATATGCAAATAGCACCACACTGGCAGCCAATCAGAAAGCCAGCACATACACCGCCACACTTCCGCCACATACAAATTTGACTTTTATTGATAGATAGATAGATAGATAGATAGATAGATAGATAGATAGATAGATAGATAGAAAGTTTGCCTTTTTGTTTCCAAAACTGAAATTATAATTTTTTTCTGAAATAATTTCTCAAAATTCAGCACTATGGAAGTGCAGGAAAGTGGGGTTATGAGGTTATATGGAAGTATGGTCATGGAACCATGAACAGTTGAACTGGTGCAATTGCAGAATTGAAGAGAGGTCTGATATCAAAGGTGCTCTATTTGATTTGCATCAGCTATCAATGATGTTTCTAAAGTGGAATGGCATGTTCGTGTGATAAAGTCCTTAGGCTATGAAAACTTACGCTACCAGCTTTGTTCTTTCAATACCTATGGTGATACAAGATCTCTTTGTATACTGATATTCCAAATGAATGTGTTGATTGCTTTAATTCTTTACTTCATATGGATTCATAGATATTGTTAAAGCTAGCTATTGCCTATTGCAGACAACATTGGGTAGGCTCTGGAAACAGGGATCAAAGAAGAAGGCAGTCAAGATATGCAGTTCCAAGAAGAGGTAAAATGTAGTCTAGCACAGCAGGTCAAGAGGTCTAACACAACAGAACAAAAACCTTTGTATTTATAATTTGGTAGAATTTGCCCACCCATGAGGGCTCTTACACTTGATTTTCCCATTATATTTAATGGACCTGAGGTTAAGCTGGTTTTCTATGGCATGATTTAAACTGAATCAAACTGCTAACTAAAAGGTTAAGTGAAGTTCTAACCCAGTCCTTCCCTCTATGCAAACCCTAGAGTGATCATGACTGCAGATGGTTGCATCTTGTCTTTTAATTTCAATCTTGGGAATTTCAGCAATGTTGTTTACTAACGGGAGTTTCTGCTTGGTTTCCTTGATTTCACTGACTCTCAGAATTGATTTTTCTGCTTGTATCAAGATCTGGAAAGATGATGTGTGACTTTGTAATTATGCTTACTGAAGTGAAGAAAGTTTTCTCTTGGTTAAAAATCAGCTGTGACCTTTCGTATTACAAAGAATTCCTGCCAGCAGATTGTTACTGATACATTTGAAGTCTTGGTAGGAGGTAATTAATCCCCTGAATGCACATAATAGATGGTTTAGTATATGGCCAGATTTTTCCTTTTACTTTCTTAAATGATTCTGATAAGCTCTATGCCAACCTAAACAAAGAAAAATATTGCTATCTCTGTGACATATCTGAGTTCCAAGGGTGTAAGATGAAAGATTCTCAGTTTATCCCAGAGCAGTAGACTAATTGATTTCCATTTGCAAACAGCACAATAATTGTTGCTTCTACTGTTGTTATTATGTTCCTTCAAGTCAACTCCAACTAATGGAGACCTTGGGTTCTTTTGGTAAGATGTCTTCAGAAGAGGCTTGGCCATTCAGGGAATTTTGATGACTGCGCAGGAGTTTTAACCATGATCTCACAGAGTCCCAGTTCACTACTCAGACTGCTACACCATGCTGGGTCTCAACACATAAACATATTATTTATTTATTTTTATAAATCAATTAATAAATAGTTTCATAGAGCCCAAGTGGAAACAATGTCAGAGGCTCCTTATCTATAATTTGAATTCTTTTTTGCACTGCAACTATCAGAATATCGATGATCAACATGACAAGTGGCCATGCAGGTTGAGAAATATTGTGAATTGTCATCCCCCAAAATGAATGTTCCAAGCTTTGATTATAGTTTAGCAGGAAAGTAACGAAAATCAAGAGCAAGATATTTATTTATATTATTTTAAACTTTTATATACCGTTCTTCTCTAACCTCCGTAGAGGGTCTCATTTATATTTCATTGTGCCGTCGCACCTGGGGCTATAGAGGAAGAGGCATGGACGTGAAATCTTTCCCCAGGGGATTGCTTCTTGCCCTCCTTTAGGGAAACTGGAACTCCCAAGGACCAGAACACAACAAGTGACTCGAAATGGTGTTTATTGATGATAATTAGTTTTCTTTCGTAGGCACAAACTTTAAGTTTCAACAGGGAAAAACACTTTATAAACTCTAAAGTCCAGGGTCCTAGGAGTAATAAGCTGAGAAGCTTTTCCTGTTCCCTCTCTCTCAATGGCTATGGATGCCGGAGCAAACCACAACCCCAGTTCAGTGGCCTAAGTTGAAGGACAAGACCTTCCTATGGTGCCAAAGAACTGGTGTGAAGGCTCCTGAGATCTTCAAAATTCTATTCAGGGTGGTCTGAACATAAAGAATAAGACTCAGGGGTAATAAACCTAAGAACTGGTAGTAAAAAATGCCTTGACCAGGGGCTTTGGGCCAAGCTTTTGGACACGTCCATCCAATGAGTCTTTTTCTGAGGTAAAAAGGGTGAGGGAGAAACCTTCCCTTTCTCCCTTGGAAGGGGTGGAGCCTAAACAAATGAACTGGGGAAACAAGCCAATTGGTGCACAACAACAATAAATTGACAGCTATACTAACCAATGAAATTTAACTGTACATATACAAGGTAGACAGGAATAAAATGGCAGTTTAAATCCTGCAACTAACAGTACTACATATGATACATGGTGATCTTCATCATTCATAGAATGCTGCTTTGATATCACTTACATGGATACATTGTTTCCAGGCTAAAATAGATGCACTCACATTTGCCATTAATTTAACTGTCATGTTGTGTTCTTAAAATTAATGTCCCAAAGTAGGGAGGGAATGAATATCCAGATTACTGTCACTGTTGAAAGCTTTGATATTCTTACCCATCAATTGGGAATGTAGCTATAATATTTACACTATGAAAAGCACTTCCATTTTCATCAACATAAATCTGTCTCCTGTAACACAACTTGGAATATGGGTGGTAGAAAAAAAACAATAGCAGCTTTTTTCTGCCCCAGATACACATCATCATCATGACCATGCCCATACTAAGGGACTTTTAACCATATTGTTATTATCACATGTAGTTAAGTCCTTGTGGATTGACAAGGTTACACTTTAATGTACTGTATATATGTATATGAGATGTTCACTTTCCGTAGTATCTCTACACCCAAAATAGAATGAATTAGATTTTCAGAAGATTTCAGTGGTGAATTTAATTAACCACTGAGATCTTCTAAAAATCTAATTCATTCCATTTTGGTTATAAAGATACTAAGAAGGTGAACAATGTCTCATGTATTTTTGTGTTTAATGTTGTTGTTTAATTTCTTTTCTAACAATCCTAACCTCAAAATGAATTTCATTTATTTATTTGACTAATACACTGGTTTTTTCCTAAAAGAGAATAAACAAATTATACCATTAAACAAATTAAAACACCAAAATGCGTATTATGTACTACAATACAATTACAAAACATTACACTTAAATACATATAGCTCTATCCTCAACAGTGAAATGTGAAGGCCTGTTTAAACATGAAGCTCTTTGCATTCCAGTGGGAAGACATTAGAGAGTAGGCAGATCAAATCCTCCTTGAGAAGGAGTTCCAAAACCTAGGAGCAGGTTCCAAGAGGGCCGTCTCTTATGTCCTCACCAATCGTGGGATTAAGAGAAGGCCTTTCTCTGAAAATTGTAAGACTTTAAGAGTTTCATATATTTAAGAGAGACAAAGACCAAGATTTTCACAGCAGCTGGAGAGGGCATTTAAGTTGGATTCAGTTTCTCTTTGGAATAGCCTTGTGATCTCCTCCCTCCCATGTTTGGCAGCACAACAAAGGCTGCATGCTACCTGTGACAATGGTGAGATTAAGTTACTCCCTCTGTTTCTGTAACACGGTTGTTTGGGGAATGCAATATATGGTTCCTGAGCCATCCTACTAGATATAATAAAATTTAGGCCTTAATGAAATAATGAGAAGCATATGTTGACATACAACTAATGTAGTTATAGAATATTTCAATCTATGCTTTCAACTTTTCATAATTGCAATTGTGTACACACACACTGTGTTGTAACTCAGCGTGTGCCTCATGTATCTACTAGTGCTAGTAGGAGGAAACGAGGCTTGGAAGAGGAAGACGCTCAGCAGCAGCTGAAGCGCATTAGGGACATGTTCCTAGAATCTAGTGATGGGGAAGAGTTTCAGGGGTTTACTCATGAAGAGATGGAGATGGAGGATTACCGTGGTGTAAAGCGAGTAGCACGCAGTTCAGATAGCGATGAGGAATCCATTTCCAAGCGTCTTAAAGAGATAGCAGATAGCTACGGGTCTGAAAGTGATGATGAAGAGCTTGACTGGACTAGGGTCCAGGAGGTTCAGGATGTGATTAATGCTCCAACCTCCAGTGATGAGTTCCAAGGGTTCACAGACCCATGGGTTTCGGATACTGCTTCTCAGGATGCAGCCCGGAGTGCAGACTGGCAACAATGGAGGGAACGCAGTTCACCTGTGGAACTGGATGCACCTGGAGGCGAATCTAGTGATTCTGATGGGATTTAAGGAGTAGCCTTGGGTCCATCATGTTGCAGAGTTCAAAGTGTTGTGTACCTGTGTATTCTGCTGTTAACTCTTGCCTTGAGTCCTTGCATCCAGAATCGTGTTTCTGTGACCGTGCTGACTACTTTGCCTGCCTTGGAACTGTGAGTCTTGTCTCCTGCCCTGACCTTGGACCGTCTTGACTATTCTGCGATTCTGCCTGTCTCCTGCGTTGACTTCGGACCGTTCCTCATACTGCTTTTTGCTTTGTGATTTTTGAACTGCCTGTATTCCATTCTAACCACGAAATGTTTGTCTGTTTTACTTCAGTTTCCTTTTTTCTGCCCAGACTGCCTGGGTTGCTGCCTTGTTTACATTCCTGCATGCCGCAGGCTCTTTTGTTAATTTGCCATTAAACACCTTTTGTTAACCCTTAAGCTGCTGTTTCGCCTCGTTGGTTCGCCTGGGTCTTGACAGACACACACACACAAAACTCACCTAAACTGGGAAACTTTACAGTTCTTATATTCATTGTGAAGTGTACTTGCTTGAAATATATCATCTACCTATATGTAAAACAGGACAGAAGCAATGTAAGTATGACAAAATACTTCTTGACAACGTTGGTGCTCATATAAAAACTTAGTAATTATATTGCTCTATCCTCATCACTGAAAAGTATTGGCCCAGTGAAAAAGAATATCCGAGTTGTTTTTCTTTCTTAACAAAACAGTAATGCACTGGAATATAATGGGAAAAAAACTATTATTAAGTTTGAGACCCAGTGGTTTGAATGCTGGACTGGGATCCCAAGGCACTGGAGTCCTCACCCTGGAAACCTATTGGATGACTGTGGCCTAGTCAGACTCTCTTAATCATAGAAGAGATAGCAAAACTCTGAATAAACCTTGCCAAGAAAGCCATACAATAGGATAAGCAAGCATATGCACATAATAAGTGACTAAGTAAGTATATAAAACATGTTGGTTCCATTCCAGTTTACCTCATGATGTAGGTGATTTCCTCCTGCATCCATATTACTAGATATTTAAAATTTACCTATGTGACATGTCTTTAAAAAAAATTCTCAGATATTATACTTAAATGAAAGGTTATTACACCAAGACACAGTATTTATTATTTATTTATTTACAGCTTTTATATTCCGCCCTTCTCACCCCGCAGGGGACTCAGGGCGGATTACAGTGTACACATATATGGCAAACATTCAATGCCAATTTTTGACATACAAACATATACAGACATACACAGAGGCTATTTAACTTTTTTCTGGCCGCCAGGGGAGCTGTCGCTTTCATCGTCCATGTGCGACTCTGATGAAGCACTTCTGCATTCCCCCGCATGCTTCCCCGCTGGAATGCTTTGCTGGAGTCTTCTTTATGGCCTCATAAATCAGTTAATTTAGCCTCCCCACACTTTAAGGTGGTACCTTATTTTCCTACTTGACAGATGCAACTGTCTTTTCGGGTTGCAAAGGTCGACAACAGGCTACACACAATTGGTTGGAAACCCACCCCAACCCGGGCTAGCTTCGAACTCATGACCTTTTGGTCAGAGTCATCTTAATGCAGCTGACTCTCAGACAGCTGCACCACAATATTTGGAAGTTGCTCGACAGTGGCATTTTAGATACATTGGCTTCAAGCAATGCATCTATGGTGCTTTTAAAAATGTTTTTCAAGTAGGAATAAGACTTTAAATGGAAAACAATTGAAAGGACATTATCTAGTTTTGTGCACTTGACAATTTCCTACAGGGAATATGTTGCAATACCTACAATGACAAGCTTGTAGGAATAGGATTTTGTCTCAGACTGTAAGATGAAGATAGAATTGTCAGCTCTGCTATGAAAAACATGGTTGTGTCCCTCTTAGCTAAATGCATATCCACATTGCTTGTTGTTTTTTAAAAAAGCAGTAGGGGATAGCAATGAGTTGGTTTCTTAAAAACTTTTAAAGGAGTAACAGTATCTAGCCAGGATCAGAACCATAAAAGGAGGGAAGGAGATGGTAAGAACCTTCCTTTTTGTGGCTGCGGAAATTTCAGTGACAATTTACTTCCATTACCAAATAGTAGGTAGAGGACAATGACCTTTGTTTGTACCACAACATCTTAAGAACAGGTTAACTACCCACCAGGGTTGTAGCTATGGGGAACTATTGAGGACATTGTTTTAAATAAGAATTCCTCCTCCTAATAATTTTTTTCTTCAATGTTTGTATGTGCTAGCAGGTTGCCGGTTTACATGGTGTCATAGGTAAGTAATATTTACAACCTCAATCAGATGGGAGAAAAAATCTCTGGCATGCTCCACTTTGCCAGCAAAGTTAGCAAGAGAAAAATACACAAGTATAAGAATTCTAGCATGAATGATTATCAGTTATCTCAATCTATGTATTTTAGAAATTTGGGCATTGAAGGAAAATATCATTGGAGGGCAGAATACTTACTTGGGAAGGTGATGCCCTTATCTCATCCCAGTTATAGCCCTGTAGCTAGATGTTTCAGTATGACATGTTGGTAATATAAATCAGAAAACATATTTAGCCAGTCCAACCAAGTCAATGAAGCATTACAATGTAAGTGGGAGAGGAACATGCTATAGATTTCTCTCAACAGGCAAAGTTACTAAGAGAATGAAAACACAATGAAACAAACTATTGTTATGTGATTTCAGCTTCCATAAGAACTGAGGTTTTGGAGCCCGATGTGTCAGAGCTTTCCAGAAGGCCAGATGAGACACAGATGGGTTGAAGGCAAAATCAGAGGTTATTTTATCAATGGCCAAAGAGTATGTCAGTGGAGACAACACTCCAAATCACTGTCATATCTCAATTGAAACATACAGAAATACTTAAAGGACATTCGTTTGAAACAAAGGACTTCTGCTGCACTAGGTGTCAATTGGCAAAGATTGTGGGAGGCTGGTTGGCTGCGGTGCACTGTTTTCATTGTTGCCAATTGATCTCCAGGTTTGGAGGGAAATTTAATAAATTGTCGTTGATTGTTCTACTTCTCATGGGGTGTATGAAGGAAAGAATGTTGGTGGTGATGGTGAAACAATGGGTAGTAATTAGTGTTAGGCAGCCTGAATGTGAAGAGATGCAATACCTCAATCCTGGAAACTATGTTGAAAGAATCTGGGTAAGAATTAATGGAATAAGGACTGTAAAAGATGTAGTTGTAGGGTGTCTACTACAGATCTTCAAGCCAGATGGAAGAACTGGGTGAAGCCTTCCTTGACCAGATGACCAGACATGCAGAAAGAAGAGACATAGCAGTAATGGGGGACTTCAACTACTTTGATATTTATTGGAAAACAAACTTTGCCAAGAGTACAAAGTCCAACACATTCCTTACCTGCCTTGCAGACAATTTTATTGTCCAGAAGGTAGAAGAGGCAACAAGGGGATCAGCTATTCTGGATCTGATCCTAACTAACAGTGAGGATCTGGTCAATGGAGTGGTGGGATACTTTGGGAGTGACCATGTTCTCTTAGAGTTTGTGATACAAAGGAAAGGTAAAACTAAGAAAAGTCAAACACGTATTCTAGACTTTAGGAGAGCTGAAATTTAAGGAAAATACAGGATGGGTGATGCCTGGTTTGACAACAGTACATGTGAAAAAGATATTAGATTTTTTTGGACAACAAGTTGAACATGAGCCAACAGTGCAATGCAGCAGCTAAGAAAAAGATGGGATTTTGGGCTGGATCAAAAGGAGTATAGTGTCTAGATTGAGAGAAAGCATGGTGCCTTTTTATTCTGCTTTGGTCAGTCTCATCTGGAATACTGTGTCCCTCAAAACCGGTCTGAGTCCCTCAAGAGAGGTGAGAAGATTGGTATACAAAACTTTTAAATAAATAAATAAATAAATTCTGGGCACCACGGTTCAAAAAAAAATATTGAAGGTGTCCAGAGGAGGGTGACTAAAATGATCAAATGTCTGGAGATGAGACCCTATAAGAAGCGTCTCAAAGAACTGGGTAAGCTTAGCCTGCAGAAGAGAAAGCTGAGAAGAAACATGATAGCCATTTGAAAGGGTGTAATGAGGAAGAGGAAGCGGACTTATTTTCTGCTTCCCTTGAGATTAGGACATGGAACAATGGCTTCAAACTACAAGAAAGGAGATTCCATCTGAACGTTAGGAAGAACTTCCTGACTGTGAGAGCTGTTCAGTAGTGGAACTCTCTGCCTCGGAGTGTGGTGGAGGCTCCTTCTTTGGAGGCTTTTAAACAGAGGTTGGATGGCCATCTATCAGGGGTGCTTTGAATGCAATATTCCTGCTTCTTGGCAGGGGGTTGAACTGGATGGTCCATGAGGTCTCTTCCAACTCTATGATTCTATGATTCTATATGAGCTGTTCAACAGTGGAAAACTTTGCCTCAGAGTGTTGTGGAAACTCCTTCCTTGGAAACTTTAAAACAGAGGTTGGATGGCACTGTTGAGGGATACTTTGATTGTGCTTTTCCTACATGGCAAGGGGTTGGACTAGATAGCCCATGTGGTCTCTTCCAACTGTATTATTCTATTATTCTGTGAATGGGTTCCCAGGAGGAGGACGAAGGACTGGGCTAATGAGACCTTTTCATGGCTGTGGGTTTTGGGGTCCTCCTTAAGTTCCTAAGGTTTCAGTAACAATATGAATGAATTTCATGTCTCCTTCTCTGCAATGTTAGAAATTTGAAGCTGAATGAATGAAAATTTCATTTAGGGAGCAATGTCTTTATTTTGCCATCCTCTAAATATATCCCTGTCTCTTACACAGCATGCTATAAATCTGATCATGACTACACAACTGCTATTTTGAAATTTAACACATGCACACACCATATCACACAGAAAGTTTCATCTCACATAAAACATAGGCAATTGGGTGGCACAAATGTGTTATATTCTATGCAAACACGTGTACATGACTTCAATAGATGCTAAATTAAATAAAAACACGAGAAGCTGGCAAATGTCATTCAAAATTAATTTGATAAACATTTATTGCTTGATTCTTACCATTTGCTGAACATCAAAGGCAAGAGCTTTGAAGGCTGTTGATGATTTCTCTTTCAAATAAGGACTGAAAGATGCTCCCGACAGTATTGTGAATGTTCCCTGGGCAGCACAACTGTTTCCACCTGATAAAGGAAATATATGCTAACATTTGGATGTTTGTTTAAATGCTCTTTGCACTTTTACAGGATTTGAAAATGAATCCGCTAGTGAAGGAGGGAATGATATATTTTACATCTCTTCCTTGTTAAGATTTCCCAGTTTTCTCATGGCTTTGAAACTAGAAACTGGCAGTAAGGAATAAAAAATAATTGCGTATAACTAACTTATTAGTTCCATTTACACTCAACAAGGCTATACTTCATTATATTATGCTGATAATTTATTTTTAAAAACAAATTAAAGTATCTATAATATTTATTTTTCAGTTGACATCTAGATGACTGTGGTATGTGTTCCCTTTCCATGGATATAGCTATATTGCAACCTTATGAGTCCATCACCAATTAGAAAGACCCCATGAATCATGCTTAATTTACTTATGCATACAACCTTATTATGCCTTTTCCTCCATGGAGCTTGGAAATGTAGGCCTTTGGATGAGTAACTGAACCAAGTCTTCCTAATAATTGTTTGTTTGTGATCAGGCACAGGAAATTCTTCAGGATTATGTCCTTGGGGAGGCAGTTATTCTGGACCCACAAGATCCTCTAAGACTGATTTCTCAGAGGGGGGGTGAGTGGTACTGAATTAGGTCCAAAACTACACTAGGACCCCATTGACACAGCCATATAATTTACTTTGACACTGCATTATATGGTCAGCGTAGACTCCTATAATGCAGTTTAACTGCACTGAATCGCATTATAGGGGTCTATGCAGACCATACAGTGCAGTTTCAAACTGCATTCTATGACAGTGTAGATGGCGCTTGAGACCCTTCATGATTGAGCTCTAAGGCAAAGTAACGCATGAAGAATCAAGTTACACTACAGTCCTTCCTTCTGGATTCAACCTTAGCAAAGCCTTCATAGAAATGTTGAGTCAAGCCTGGGAACTTTCCCTTGGTCAGTCCTCAACTCTTGCGTATGACCTTACCCAAGAGAACAGGTAGGGAAGGAACTCTTGTGCAGAATACCAATTTCTTGACCTTTGCCTCTGTTCTTCTCTCACTTCTCTCACACTTGTCTTCTGTGTCCACAAGCTGCCTCATACTTCTTGATAGATTCAAAGATGTTTTTGTCCTGTGTTTCTTCACGCTTTGTCATCTGATCCGTCTCACTCCTTTTCTTGGTTACTGTTGTGCCTTTTATTCCCCTGCACCTCCATTTTCCAGGCAACTGTTTTCCTAGCCTATTTTAGGGTGCATCTACACTGTAGAATTCATGCAGTTTGACACTACTTTGACTGCCATGGTTCAATGCTAGGGAATTCTGGGATTTGTAGTTTGGTAAGGCACCAGCACCCTTTCATAAAAAAAATTCTAAAAACCTCATAAAATGTCAACTTCCATGATTTCATAGCATTGAGCCATGGAAGTTAAAGTTGCATTATTTCTACAATCCATCAATTCTACACCCTTTCTTGCAAAGCAACTGCTTGTAAATCTTCAGAGGGCGAATCTATACAGTAGAATGAATGCAGTTTGACTCCACCTGAACTATTACGGTTCAATGTTATGGAATTATCGGAATTGTAATTTTATGAGGTCTTAAGCCAAAGGGTGCGGGTGCTTCATCAATGATAGCTTCCAGGATTCCAAAGCTTTGAGCCATGATATTCTATAGTCTCCTTCACACTGGGCAATTACAAAATTATGATTCCACTTTCACTCTCATTGCTGCATCCTATGGGTCCCCAGAGTGAAATACTAGACCTTTTTAGCTGAGACTTCTATATGCCTATTCCTAAAATTCATATTTCAAGGCCCTACATGGTTTGGATCCAGGTTATCTACAGGATCACCTTTTCCTGTATAATCTGCCATGCACACTTAGCTCCTTTGAGAGGAGGCTACTCCAACCTGCCAGAACTCAACTGGCCACCATCAGCCAGAGGACCTTTTCATTGCCCAATGTGGAATGACCTGCTAGAATTCATCTGCCATAATTTTAAAACCATCTAAAAATATATCTCTTCCAGCAAGCCTACCCAGCCAGTTGAAAGCATGAATTTTAAACTCATGCCCTGTGTTTTGGTCCCTGTCCTGTGTGATTAATGTGTTTTTTATAGAAATGCTATGATATGTATCTTTTATGCAACTGCATTTTAATATGCGTGTTTGTAGAATTTTTATATTATTTGTATGTGTTTGGCTGTGCTGTGACCTGCCTTGAACCATGGGGAGAGGCGGGTAAGAAATGAAATAATAAATAAATTAATAAATAAATAATTTATTGTGGTGGCAGTTAAAGTGAAGTCATAAGTGCTGCAAAAAGGTTTTGTTCTGTAGTCACCAAATGTTAACAATTTCAGGTTGTAGAAAAGCAAGGCAGCAATAGCTGCTTATTTAGATCAAAGTCAGTCATGTTTGGTCATATAAATTACTAGATGTTAACAAAAATATCTGTTGCCAAAGGCCTGGAATCATATTGCTGAAACCTCAACCAGTGAAGAACAACAACTTGAAAACAAGTTTTATCACGTACAAGAAATCTTACTAGGACATGGAATAATTTCTAAAGAACGATGGATTAGTACTGGGATTTTTTGGGGGGGCATGAAACAGATACTGTTTTTTTTATGTGCAGCTTTGAAAAAAGACTACTTTGATTCAAAACACAGAAACCTGACCTTTTCTATCATGATTCATATATTGTTTTATTGTGTATACGGAATAACTGCTTACATTAAAGTTGCCACTGCAGAGTAGTAATTTTATAAAATAAATTTGCATCAGTTGCTTGTAATCCCAAAACACTGTTCAAATAAATCAGATTATGTAATCAAGCCTGATATTAAATTTTGTCTATTTCTGAAAGAACAGCAGGAACTGACAATCTCTCCAGTAAAACTTATATTCCAAGAGTTATCTCTTTAAACGAAGAGAAATAAACAAAAAAAACCCCCAAAAAACCAAAAGCCCCATGTAGGTGCAGAAGGAAATTCCCTCATGTTTTTGTATCTCTGAGATTGCATCCTCTTCTCCCCTTCTGTCTCCCCAGGCATGCCAGGAGGATGTGAGGAAAATCATTGTGGCTGTAAGGTACCTTTTAATTAACTCTTAGGGGAAAATTGGGTAGCTTCACCCCTTCATCCCCCCCCCCCCAAGAAAAGCCCAGAGTTTGGGTGGGGAAGTGGGGATAGTGTCAAAATGGATTACTTAAACTGTTTTGGCATGGGTTTTGGCACTGTGTGGAAGCACCCTGAATCATTTTAAGACTGGGAGAGGTTGTTTTTTTGCAAGAGGAAGTTGTCTGGAAATCAATTTTTTTCACCTGCTGGAGGAAAAAGTAGGGAAAATAAGAAAAATGGGAGATCCCAAACCATGGAGAAATTGATTAGCATGACTCTTAGACAAAATGTAATAAAATAGGAGAATGAATGTGGGTGGAGGCTCTGATCGCCAATGCAGTTCCTAACCGGATTTCCGGTTCCGGTTATGGCGGTCAGCGGCGGCAACGCGGAGCTGCGCTAGAGAAAGAACAAAATCCTAGATAATTCTAGGGAACCCCCCTCCCCTGACCACCAACCTAAGGGCGGGGGCGAGACCAACACTCAGAACGGGCATTGAGCCCTAAAAAAAAAAAAAAAAGTCGAGAACCAAGGAGCCGAGAAGAGGGGACCAAGTGGAGGAGGAGGCAAAAGTAGGAAGGGAGCGCCGCCATTGCAACGCGGCTTAAGGAAAACCTACCAGCGTTGTCGGTCCTCCGGCGGGGACTGACCGGTTGCCTGGTCGGGCCGCCGTGTCCTGCTTTGGCGCTGGGCCTTGCTGCCACCTGGGCCGCCGCCGCCGGCCGGCTGAGCCGGTGCGAGACTCGGCGCGGCCGCCATCTTGCCGCGCTGCTTGGGCCCTGCCGGTTTGCTGTTGCGGCTGAGGGGAGACACGCCGCGGGGGAGACACGCCGCAAGAGGCACGGGAGACGCGCCGCGGCCGGCTTCCCCCTGGAAAAGGACCTCCCAACATTGTGGTCCCCTCGGCGAGGACTGGACCGGTTGCCTGGTTAGGGTTGCCTGTGCTCGGCTCCGGCGCCGAGCGCTGGGCCTCCGCTGCCTCCGCTGCCACCTGGGCCTTCGCTGTCTCCGCTGCCGCCTGGGCCAACGTCACCGACCGGCAGAGCCGAGGTGAGACTCGCCGCGGCCGCCATCTTGCCGCGCTGCTTGGACCCGGCCGTTTGTTACTGCAGCGGAGAGGAGTCGCGCCGCGGAGGAGCCGAGGAGTGAGTTGGGATCTTGCAGCGGCCGGAGCTGTGATCGTTCGCCTGGCTGGACCTCTATTGCGGGGGCCCCGCCGGGCGGACCACTATCCGGGCCTGTTTCTTTTCCCTCCCTTCCTTCGCTGGGCCGCTGGGCCTTTGTTGTTAGGCCCTGGTCTTATAGGCCTTGCGGCCCTATCATCTGGGCCTGCCCCTTTTCCCTGCCTCGCCGCTGGGCCGGTTAGGCTTCGGCCACCAGGCCCATCAAACAACTTCACCGCTGGGCCCAACTTTGCCTGAACCCACCATCCTCGCTTATCCGCCTGGGCCCTTACCTCCCTATCATCTGGACCTTTACCATCGGGCAAGCCGCGGATAGCTCTTCTCTGGTGCTGACCTTTATTGCAAATCTGTGTAGACCTTGTGTTGATCGACATTGTGCAGACCGATATTGTGTAGATCTTGTTGTGTAGACCGCTTTTTGTGTTGACCGACAGGGTGTTGCCTGTTATTCAACTTAGCCGAATATAGACCAACTGGGCTGACCACCGCCGTGCTGACCATCTCCGGAGGACCATCCACTATCTTTACATCCGCGGCTTTTACATTTTTATATCAGTCGTCTATAGTTTACATCTGAATCTCAATACTGTTACCAACTGCCAATCTCTTTAATTACTGTGTTTACATATTGCGAACATTGCACATCACAGTTCCTTCTCTACCTTTGCTGCTAATTTGGTAGTAAGAGGGTAATACAGCACTTTAAGGCGCCTGCCTCTGCTGCCAACTGTTTTGCACTTGCCCCTTTCCCGATCCCTCCTGCCGCACTTTAGTAGTATCGAGGGCCAGCTCTGGGTTTTTGGCCGCACTCAAGAGCCGCACTTTATGAATCGCCCTAGTGGCCTGTAGCCGTGGACTGGACTACTATTGCACTTTAGGACACCTGCACTTTAGGATTATCTTACTGTTGTAGTTAAAACGTCTGTTACCTTGTATTATTGCCATCTTACTGAAGTGTATTGTTTTCATCCATGTGGTCCCCCACCCTTTTATGTATACTGACCCTGATATTACTGATTAGTGGAAGGGGCGGGGGAGGAAGCGGGCTGGAGCCCGTGAAGAACAATGAGGAGGGGAGGGGGGATAAAGAAAACCAAGGTAATTGGCAAGAAAAAACGCCAACAATTCAAACAAATAGCGAAACAGGGACTAAGACCTTGGCCATGGACTGCGGCACGGAGGAGGGGAGGTGTTCCACTAGCCGAGGGGCCCCCATAGAGGTCGTGGTGGGAAGGAGGAGATGCGGAAAAAGGAGACCTCAAATTCGGCTTAATTCGGACCGTTCATCTACATTAACAATCCCAAACCGGTCTCCTAGGGTAAATTGGTGTAACCAGGCTGGCAGGCCCTCCGGATTGAAGGTGGTGCTGCTGAACGCCAGATCTGTCAACGGAAAAACGACCTTTATCCAGGACTTAATCCTGGATGAACGGGCAGATCTGGCGTGCATCACGGAGACCTGGTTGGATGAAGCTGGAGGAGTAAATCTGATCCAGCTTTGTCCTCCAGGTTTCTCCGTGCAGCACCAACCGAGATCCGGAGGTCGGGGAGGCGGGGTCGCAGTGGTCTATAGAGATTCCATCCATCTGACCAGGTGCCCCATCCCGCAGACCACAAATTTTGAATGCGTCTACCTGAGGGTGGGTGACCGGGACAGAATAGGGATTCTGCTAGTGTACCGTCCACCTCGCTGCACTACAGTCTCCCTACCTGAGCTAGCGGGGGTGGTCTCGAGCCTGGCGTTGGAGTCTCAACGGCTTCTTGTGCTGGGAGACTTCAATATCCATGCCGAGGCGACCCTCACAGGAGCGGCTCAGGACTTCATGTCTGCCATGGCAACCATGGGGCTGTCCCAACAAATATCTGGCCCCACCCACTGTGCTGGACACACATTGGACTTGGTTTTCTGCCAGGGATGGGAGCAAGGTGGCGGTGTGGAGGAGTTGTCCATCTCTCCGTTGCCATGGACCAACCACTTCCTGATCAGATTTAGGCTCACTGCGTCCCCTAACCTCTGCAAAGGTGGAGGACCCACTAAGATGGTCCGCCCCAGGAGACTGATGGATCCGAATGGATTCCTGACGGCTCTTGGGGATTTTCCTGCCACCTCGGTAGGTGACCATGTCGAGGCCTTGGTCGCTCTCTGGAATGGGGAGATGACCAGGGCAATTGACATGATCGCTCCGGAGCGTCCCCTCTCAAGTAGCCGAGCTAAACCAGCCCCTTGGTTTACTGAGGAGCTGGCAGTGATGAAGCGAAGGAAGAGGGAACTAGAGAGCGTGTGGCGTTCGGATCCAAGCGAGTCAAACCGAGCACGGTTTGTGTCCTTTCTTAGGGCATATGCCGCGGCAATAAAGGCCGCAAAGAAAACTTTCTTTGCGGCCACTATTGCGTCTGCAAAGAACCGTCCGGCGGAGCTGTTCCGAATTGTCAGAGGTCTTTTAAATCCCACCAAGTCGGATGGGAACCCTGACAACTCGACGGCCCGCTGTGAAGCTTTTGCTCGGTTCTTTGCGGACAAAGTCGCTTTGATCCGTTCTGACCTGGCACCATGTTAAATGCAGTCTCTGAGGATGTGACACGAGCACCTGCTTGTCCTATTTTGATGGATTCTTTTCAATTTGTGAAGCCCGAGGATGTGGACAAGATACTTGGAGGAATGAGGCCCACCACGTCCATCCTAGACCCCTGCCCATCCTGGCTTCTGAAGGAGGCCAGAGGGGGATTGGCTGAGTGGGTAACGGTGGTGGTTAATGCCTCCCTTCGGGAAGGCAAGATTCCAGCGTGCTTAAAACAAGCAATTATAAAACCGCTGTTGAAGAAACCATCATTGGACCCCACTAAATTTGACAACTTTCGGCCTGTTTCCAATCTCCCCTTTTTGGGCAAAGTCATGGAAAGCGTGGTGGCCTCACAACTCCAGGTATTCTTGAGAGACACGGATATTCTGGATCCGGCACAGTCTGGTTTCAGACCGGGACATGGTACCGAGACGGTCTTGGTCGCCTTAGTGGATGATCTGCGCCGGGAGCTAGACAGGGGGAGTGTGTCCCTGTTGGTGCTCCTGGACCTCTCAGCGGCCTTCGATACTGTCGACCACAGTATCCTTCTGGGGCGCCTTGCGGAGATGGGCCTTGGGGGCACTGCGTTGCAGTGGCTCCACTCATTTCTGGAGGGCCGCACCCAGAAGGTGTTATTGGGGGACTCCTGTTCTACGCCACAACCTTTGACTTGTGGGGTTCCACAGGGTTCCATACTGTCCCCCATGCTGTTTAATATCTACATGAAGCCGCTGGGTAAGATCATCCGGAGTTTCGGGGTGCGGTGTCATCTGTACGCAGATGATGTCCAACTCTGTCACTCCTTTCCACCTGCTACTAAGGAGGCTGTCGAGGTCCTGAACCGGTGCCTGGCCGCTGTGACGGTCTGGATGAGGGCGAACAAACTGAAACTAAATCCAGACAAGACAGAGGTACTCCTGGTCAGTCGCAAGGCCGAACGGGATATAGGGTTACAGCCTGTGCTGGACGGGGTCGCACTCCCCTTGAAGGCGCAGGTTCGCAGCTTGGGTGTAACCCTGGATTCATCGTTGAGCCTGGATCCCCAGGTTTCAGCGGTGACCAGGGGAGCATTTGCACAGCTCCGGCTCATGCGCCAGCTGCGCCCGTATCTCGGGAAGTCTGACTTGGCCACGGTGGTACACGCTCTGGTCACATCCCGCCTTGACTACTGCAACGCTCTCTACGTGGGGCTGCCCTTGAAGACGGCCCGGAAGCTTCAGCTAGTCCAGCGCGCGGCAGCCATGTTACTAACTGGAGCGGGACGCAGGGAGCACACAACGCCCTTGTTGTCCCAGCTCCACTGGCTGCCGATTTGCTACCGGGCCCAATTTAAGGTGCTGGTGTTGGCCTACAAAGCCCTAAACGGCTCCGGCCCAAAATACCTTTCAGACCGCATCTTGGCCTATGAGCCCACGAGGACCTTGAGATCGTCTGGGGAGGCCCTTCTCTCGATCCCGCCTGCCTCACAGGCACGCCTGGCGGGGACGAGAGAGAGGGCCTTCTCAGTGGTGGCCCCCCGGCTGTGGAACACTCTCCCTACAGACATCAGGCAGGCGCCCTCCCTTATGACCTTCAGGAAAAGCCTTAAGACATGGCTGTTCGAGAGGGCATTTAATTAAGTGCTATAATAATGTGGTAAAGATGACTGGAATGGAACAAGGAATACGAGATTGGTTACGATTCTATTATGAGACGAAGCGGATTAGTTAGTGTAACTTTTAATTGTTGTATTGCTGTTATTGCTAATATGTTGTTGTAACTGTCTTTTTGTAAATTGCCTTTTTATGCTGTACACCGCCATGAGTCGCCCGAGAGGGCTGAGAATGGCGGTTAATAAATGCACCAAATAAATAAATAAATAAATAACCTCTGAGTGTTGTTTACTCAAATATATGTACAAACTAACTTATTCATTGGATCTTTCTTCTGTTCCATGTTTCCAAAGGCAGTCATTTGGAACATGGGGCCCCACAACATATTAATAGTTAGCATAGATGACAGTTAGGCCATGTTT